TAGGCAAAGCAGCAATTGATTCTTGCTACTGGGTGACACAAAGTCCAGAGTATTGCAACTAGGTGGTACTGCTGCCCTTGGACATAAAAAAACCCCTTTGGTGGAGAATATGGGCAATGTCTGGTGAACCAGCAAAAGCAGTCAGCCTAGCAACAGCAATAACATGGGTAGATGTTGCAACAGATCACAGCTCAGCAAAAGCAGCAAGTGGCCCAACAGCAACCAGAATAGCAACAGCTAATTTGGGAGCTAGCAGCCCATTACCAGGGACAACAAGAACACCTGATCCGGCAGATAGTAACCTTACTACAGCCCTAAGGGGCATCTAATGCTGCATCACCAAGCACTCTAGGAGATGCCTCCTCCACGTGCCCATACGACTCATGAAAATGGACTCCAGAGATGACCCCAAGGATTCCTAGTCACCCTTGAATAGGTGGCCACCAGAACATTAGACTACCTTGATAGCACCATACTTGACCAGTCCTGCACAAGCTGCATGTCAAAGCTTCAACTCTGTGGAGGTACTGGACTATGCCAAAGAAAATATAGCCATATTTGATTGCCTAGATATGAGCCCTGAGACATTCAGAGGTTTCACCAGGAGAGAAATCCATCAGGAACCTAGCCTTGGATGGTGGCTCAACATGTCCAGGACCAGTGTTGGCATTGGTTCGATCCAGAAAAGCAGACCAGAATGGAAGTGGAGGAAGAAATCACATTATAGCAATTCACACAGTTTCTCCCACATGGAGGAAGAGAGAGGGTGTAGCCCCATTGACCATTGACTCTGTCAGAAATGGTGATGTTTCTGTCCTTACTTAGTTGCTCTTCACATTCTTTCTTGGTCTATTTTATTAAACCTTTACACTTGACTTCATATTAAACCTAAAATGCTCCTCCCTGCACTATCATCTCATCCACACATTGAGACCCTGCAGTTCTATCTTCTTGGCCCCACTGATGGAAGTGGAAGCATTTCAGAGAACACTAGCATGGAAGCCCTAGACTTTGACTTCTTACACAGCAGCCTAAATTTGGACTCTCTCCTACCTTTCCCCACATCTGTGATACCTAATATGTACTACAATCACTGGCTCTTCCATAGCACTACATAAATCTGTCTAGATCAACATTTCTAAAACTTGGGTCCATAGACCCTAGATGCCCATGAGGGTAGTCTGGAACATTTTCCAGCTCTGATGATCAACTCCTCCACTCTCCCTAAACTCCACCCCTTCTTCTTCCCACCCCTATCATGACCATGCTCCAAACCCACTCTACCACCACCCTCCCACTAGTTCCTGCATGCAGCAGAACAGCTGGTCAATGGCATGCAGAAGGCACTGGGAGGGAGGGGAAGGAGTGGGTTTAGAGCATGGTCATGATAGGGGGTAGGAAGAAGAAGGGTGGAGGTGGAGTCCTTGGGGAACAATGGAGTGGGGGACATGACCTGGGGCTGAGCAGAGGACTTGGGGGATCCACAAAAAAATTAAATCAAAATGGAGGTCCTCATGTTGCTAAAGTTTGAGAACTGCTGGTCTAGATGACCCATGACATCTGCAACCTTCACATCTGGCAGACAACATAGCATGTGCTTCTCCTGATCATCATAAACCCAACTATTTAGCCTTCTAATAATTGAATCCCACATTATTATTTCCTGGCTCTTCCCAGCAACTAAGGTCCCCAATGCCACTGGATGCCATGACATGTGTTGGAAGGAGGTTCTCCAGCTCCATGTTCTTGTTCTCTGAGACTTTCATCCTCCTTTACAGAACAGAGGCTGCCAAACTCAGAATGGGACCAGGCCCACTAATGGAGGGAGAAAGAGGGGAACTACCCTCATTGCCTGGCGATTCAAAAGGGCCAGGGGCTCCGGGCTGCCACCACTGCTAGTACAGCAGTTGCTGCTGAAACTCTGGGCCCTTGAAATTGCTGCTGGAGCCCTGCACAGTGTGCTCTGTGCAGTACTGAGAGCTGCCTGGGGTAGGTGTGGTGTGCTCTGGGAGGCACTGAGGGCTGCCTGGGGGAAGCTAGCCCCACCGTGCCTCTTCCACCTGAGGCTCCGCCCCTTCCTGGGGTGCAAAGCCAGCCCCATTTGCCTTGTCCAGGAGCCTGGTGAGTCTGCTGGCCCCACTTGATGGGATCATTCTGTTTTGTCTCTGTCACATTTGTGCACCTCTCTGTCTCCCATAGCTCCCCCAGTTTAGCCACTATGGCCTCAAGAGTCTGTAATGCATCACTGAAAGCCCTGAATTTCACATGCAGATACATGCCATGTTCCCCCAAAGCAAGTAATTGGACCAAATTGGACCAAATTTGAATGGGTAGCATTGCAACCTCATACATGGGCTCACAGCATTGCAACTTTTCTTTCCTGGTGGTTGGAGGCCCCTCTGACATGGGGGACCTATGCAGGTGCCCTGAGCACAGCCTGGAAGTGAAAGCCTGAGCATCAGGCAGGAACACACAGGAACTGAAGCTTAGCTGGGATCCATTTTCTAGTTTAACTGGGGAAAATATCCTTTTATCTCACAATATATGCACTTTTAAATCCTTTGTAATGAAAACTTGTCAAGCCAGGGAAACCTGGGTGATGAAACTAAAAGGGATACCCTGGCTGAAACTTTTTTTCTTTCTGTTTAATTAAAAGCAAACTTTTTTTTAATCTTTTCCCCATCCTCCTTCTTTCTACAATGACCCAGTCAGATACATAGGCTCATTGTGCTTTTTATGGCCTTGTTCCTTACAATCTGTTTAATGAGGTTTGAATAAGGACTTCTCTTTTCACAGGTTTAACATTAATTAGTAGGATAGTAGTGTGAAATATAGACAATAATATCTAATCACTAACTAAATAGAAAGGTAGGAAACCTAGCTCTGAAATACAGAACTGAACATCCCCCCACTTGAAAATTTGTGGTTAAGTTAAAGATACACCAAAAAAAAAGAAGAATGCACTTATTTGTTGGCAGTGTGAAATAAAATCCACATAACGTTTGTAAAGGGCCTTTATGCATAGGCAGAATTTGTGCAATTGTTAGCCCTAGTGCCGTGAATTGCTTAACTTTCTTTAAAAGGAATGCATGAGTTGGGATGAGGGGAACTGATGATTGGATAGTTTTCCTTTCACTGTCTTCAAAGATGTCATACATCCTCATAGCTCTTGTTAGCACTTTTTAAAATAAAGTTGCTTTTGAATGGTGGTGTGTGGCTTGCATTTTATTTCTGCATGTGGTTTCTTGGATAAATAATTGATGCTAGTGGATGTGATTCTAGTACAATAGTGGAATAATGAATTGTATTGAATAGCGATGATGACAAAGCGTAGAGTCTTTTTTTAAAAGTCCTTATATAATTCTTAGATTTTTGAGTGACACTCAAAACATTCTTATTTGGTAGCAAACAACTAGCAAGATGATTAATAACAGAATTCTGCTTCTTTAGTGGCAACTACAGTTGCAGAGCAGAATCTATCTTACTTTCAAGAAATGGAGCTGTCCAGCACTGACTCAGGGGAAAAATATTTGACAAATAAATAAACACCTGTAACTGGAGTTTCCAGTAAAGACAAAACAGTAAGAAGAAAAGAGCAACTGACCTACCCAACAGCTAGATGTATGATCTAAACTAATTCTTGCAGTCTTTAGTATGTCTCTCCTCTGAAATGTAACCGGATTTATTACTTCATGCAAGTTATTTTCTGCCAAGGCTGCAGAAGGCACTTGCTTTCAGTATATTTTTATGATAAATATGACACATCTTCCACTATATGTTAATATTTAATCACTTTAAATCAAAACCATGTAACAGATGACCCAGGAAGAGATGCTATGATTCATTAGAATTATTTCTGCACCCACAAAGCACACGGGGCCTGATTCCTCACTGTTATTCTCAAGGTAAACCAGGAGTAAAATCATTGCAACCAAAAAAATGGTAAAAGCTTGACCCTTGCAAGATACCTAGCAGGTCAGGGATGAAACAAATATTCCATCTCTGTATTCCCCAGCTCTTTCTCAATTTGGTGTATTTCCCTGTAGGGCACAGTTAAGCACTAAAGACCATAAAACCAGAAAATAGGATCCAGCATCGCCTCTCCTTAGCTTCCAGTTTGTGCTCCTGCCATCCAAGAGCAATTCCTTCTACAGTGGGGTCAGACAGAATGGAGCCCTGGCTTGGCTTTGCCTCCTGATGAAGAGCAAGAGAGGGCAGTCTGAAAACTTTGGGGACAGAGCAACACCTTAGGAAGTGGATCCAGGGATACATCCAGGGCCCCAGGCCACGAGATGTGTGTGTACGGGAGAGATACAGCCCGGGTCACTGTCTGGATGGGGGAGTTGGGAGAAGAGGGCATTGCCCGCAGGGGGATCCCCGAGTCCAGAAGTGGGGGCAGAGCAGGGGGAGGCCCGTAGGGCTGAGTGACATTCGCAGGTGTGGGCACCACATGCAGGCCACAGGGGAAGGTGAAAGTCCCAGCCTCGTCTCCAAGTGCTCAGGAGGCGAGGGCTGGCAGCCGCGGCCCCCGCATGCACCGGGGAGGGCAGGGGGCCGACAGCCGCGGCCACCACATGCACCGAGGTCCAGGGGGCGGGGCTGACTGTCCGAGCCATCGCGTGCACCGGGGCGGGGGGCGCCGGTTCCGCGCAGGGGCTGCCAGCGGGAAAGCCGGGGAAAGTGCCCTCGCGGCTCCCGCCCGCACGAGCTGTGGCGACAGGCGAGACGAAGCCTCCCAAGCCCACGTGGTTCCGGCGGGCGGGGGCGGGAGGGAGGGAGGGAGGCAGGCGCTGAGCAAGGCAGCGGCGGCGGCAGCTGCTTTAAAGCCGCCCAGCCCGGCAGAGCGCGCGGCACCCCCTGGCCAGGGCGCGGAGCGGGGCTGCAGCACGGAGCCGCCGCCGCCGGGCCATGCCCTTCCAGCCATGAGCAGCCCGCCGGCCCCGCGCCGCCCCGCCGCGCTGCCCCTGCACATCTGATGCTCGCCCGGCGCCCGAGGCAGCATGGCCCGCCGGAAGATCTCCTCGGAGTCCTTCAGCTCGCTGGGCTCGGACTATCTGGAGACCAGCCCGGAGGAGGAGGGCGAATGCCCCCTGTCCAGGCTCTGCTGGAACGGCAGCCGCAGCCCGCCCGGCCCGCTGGATCCGCTCGCCGCCGCCGCCGCCAGGCGGGCTCCGCGCAGGAGACGGGTCAACCTGGACTCGCTCGGGGAGAGCATCAGCCGCCTGACAGCTCCCACGGTGCGTAGCCAGGGCCAGGGCAGGGGACGTGTCGTGCTGCCTTGGGGCGAGGGGCTCTCGCAGCAGCTCTGTTCCCTTCCCCTGGGTGGGGATCAGGCTGGTGCTAAGGACACCGGGCTCCATCTCCCCCCAGCGTGGACTCCCGTTTCCTCTGCTACAGCCCCTAGAATCGACCTCTGTTTCTGCCCCCCCACATTTCCCGAACCCCTAGAGCCTCCCTGCATGAGCACCCTGCCCCCATAGCTCCCTCTTGCTCAGATCCCTGTCCCCAGAATCTACCCCTATAGCCCTCCTCTGCTGGCACCCTGCCTGCATGGGCATCCTGCCCCCAGAATCTACCCCTATACCCCTCCTCTGCTCGCCCCCTGCATGGGCATCCTGCCCCCAGAATCTACCCCTATACCCCTCCTCTGCTCGCCCCCTGCATGGGCATCCTGCCCCCAGAATCTACCCCTATACCCCTCCTCTGCTCGCCCCCTGCATGGGCATCCTGCCCCCAGAATCTACCCCTATACCCCTCCTCTGCTCGCCCCCTGCATGGGCATCCTGCCCCCAGAATCTACCCCTATACCCCTCCTCTGCTCGCCCCCTGCATGGGCATCCTGCCCCCAGAATCTACCCCTATACCCCTCCTCTGCTCGCCCCCTGCATGGGCATCCTGCCCCCAGAATCTACCCCTATACCCCTCCTCTGCTCGCCCCCTGCATGGGCATCCTGCCCCCAGAATCTACCCCTATACCCCTCCTCTGCTCGCCCCCTGCATGGGCATCCTGCCCCCAGAATCTACCCCTATACCCCTCCTCTGCTCGCCCCCTGCATGGGCATCCTGCCCCCAGAATCTACCCCTATACCCCTCCTCTGCTCGCCCCCTGCATGGGCATCCTGCCCCCAGAATCTACCCCTATACCCCTCCTCTGCTCGCCCCCTGCATGGGCATCCTGCCCCCAGAATCTACCCCTATACCCCTCCTCTGCTCGCCCCCTGCATGGGCATCCTGCCCCCAGAATCTACCCCTATACCCCTCCTCTGCTCGCCCCCTGCATGGGCATCCTGCCCCCAGAATCTACCCCTATACCCCTCCTCTGCTCGCCCCCTGCATGGGCATCCTGCCCCCAGAATCTACCCCTATACCCCTCCTCTGCTCGCCCCCTGCATGGGCATCCTGCCCCCAGAATCTACCCCTATACCCCTCCTCTGCTCGCCCCCTGCATGGGCATCCTGCCCCCAGAATCTACCCCTATACCCCTCCTCTGCTCGCCCCCTGCATGGGCATCCTGCCCCCAGAATCTACCCCTATACCCCTCCTCTGCTCGCCCCCTGCATGGGCATCCTGCCCCCAGAATCTACCCCTATACCCCTCCTCTGCTCGCCCCCTGCATGGGCATCCTGCCCCCAGAATCTACCCCTATACCCCTCCTCTGCTCGCCCCCTGCATGGGCATCCTGCCCCCAGAATCTACCCCTATACCCCTCCTCTGCTCGCCCCCTGCATGGGCATCCTGCCCCCAGAATCTACCCCTATACCCCTCCTCTGCTCGCCCCCTGCATGGGCATCCTGCCCCCAGAATCTACCCCTATACCCCTCCTCTGCTCGCCCCCTGCATGGGCATCCTGCCCCCAGAATCTACCCCTATACCCCTCCTCTGCTCGCACCCTGCATGGGCAACCTGCCCCCAGAATCTACCCCTATACTCCTCTGCCCGTACCCTAGATCTTCCCGCCCCCATCCTCTCCGCTGTGCCTGGACCCCTCTCTCTTTGCCCTTTCTTGGGCCCGCCTCACTCCTCCAGCCCCTTCTCCTCCCCACGTCCCCCCGCTCTGGACCCTCTATCTCTCTGCAGTTCTGCCTCTATCCCTCCTTCCGGGCATTGCGCTGGTCTCGCTGCCCGGACTCTGGTCCTTCCACGCCCGCCTGCCCGCGCCCCGGGCTGAGTTCGGGGGCTGCAGCGCCCGCGCTGATGCAGCCCTGCCGGGTTTTCCCCGGACTCGGCGAGCTGCGGTGCCATGTCCCCAGCCCCTTGTGTGCACGCGCTGCTCCTGGAGCCCTGGCGGAGCCCTTTTGCCCACTGGGCAGGGGGCTGCGGGACGAGGGGAGAGTCCCAGCAATCCCTCGCTCTCGCCCGTGTCTAACCCGCTTCTCGTCAGACCTTTGAAGCACCCTCTGCCGCTCCTGGGCATTGGCCCAACGCTGACAATTCTTGGCAGGCGGCAAATTCCAGTCCCCTCTCTCCCCTCGCAGCGACCTGGTCTTCTTCCTTCCGGGAGTCTCCCGGAGTCCCGTCTCTCTTACACAGTGCATGGTGCTGCTAGGAGTCCAGAGCCATCCCCACCCCCAACAGACTTTCTTGCACCAAGTCGCAACACCTTTGGCTTGGCTGCTCCACTGTCTTGGAGGGAGAGGCAGCCAGGTCAAATTTCAGTGGCATTGCAACCCCCTTGTACCAGATCCCAATGCCAGGTACTCAGACGTGGTCCAGTTGGGTGAAATTTCACTGGTGTTGCAACCGCAGCTGGTGCCCTACTCTGGGCCACCCCAGTAACTTTGATTTAGGAGCAGCCATGCTACAGTTAGAGGACCTCTGCTTAAAAGTGGCTGGCCTATGCCCCCACTTCCACTCAGTGGCATGTGGCAGTCTAAGCCAATGCAAAACCCTTTTGAGGGTGTGTGGGGCACATTCTCCCCCTGAAATTGGTGCCACTGGAGGCATCTTGATTTAAATAGGGTTGAGCAGAAAGTAACATGCACAAAGCTCCAGGTGCTGCTGCTGGGAATTGACTGAGAGGAAAATGAGGAGATATTAAGCCGTACAAAGCACTCAGCCACACAGATCATGTAAAATTGGCTGCTGCCTATCTTCCTTTTCATACTTAAATTTGAGTAAGGGAAGGGATAAGGAAAATCAGCCCATGCTTACATGTCTTATTTAGGATGGACTATGCTGCCCTTGTTTTATGAGCCATAAAATAGGATATTTCCTAAGTACTATGAACAGAGATTGGGAAAGATTCGGAGTCTTCACATTATTACATAGTATTAAATAGCAATCAAATGTAGAATAATAAAAAACTACATTCAGTCTGTATTTACTAGTACATAACATGGTTTTAAATAAAAAAGAACTTGTTTTTGGTATAAGCAATGACTTAGTTATTTTGCTTAAAATTAATCAAATTACTTTTGTTGGTAAATGTTTAATATTATTCCAGTTATCTTGGTTCACTTGAGACAGAGATTTTCATATTAGTTAGCATAATTGCTGTGCCCCCTTGTCATGCAGTTTTAGTCTGTTTATTTTAAGCAACTTTAAATCAGGTTTAAAACACTCCTATTAGAAATCAACTGTGTTTAATTGGGCTGGGAGATAAAAATACCCTTAGCTATTCTATTAGTCATGTTTGTAATTCAAGCTTGAATTTGCATCTTGCAAAAAGCCTTTTCAAAATAGTAAGCCTAACAATATTTTTAAAATAATTATTTAAAAAAGAGTGATAATTATGATAATTTAACTATCTGCTGCTGATGTATTTTCTAAAACATTCTGACTTCACTCAAAATGTAAATAGAGTTTCATGTACATATTTTTCCTGTCACAAATATATGTGAACTCTTTCCATATGTAGGTTTTGGCCGTATTGAACAGTTACAGGATAAAAAGTTTTGAGCTTTTGTTGTAAAATAAGTTGTGATGGATGTTCCTTTAGTTACACAATTCATTGAAATACGTGCAGTTTGAAGACTGTAGTTTCTTAAAAATACTTTTTTGAAATCAACAGTTGATGATCAACGTCTGAAGGAAGAATGTTAATACGGTGACCATTAGCATTAATTTTGAATTTGGATAGAATCTTATATACAATTCTCCTGGTTTGGAAGATTGTAAGATTAGTGACACAAACATTTCCAGTTTTAAGTTGTTATATGTAAAATATTTTCTTTTGTATAAAATGAGTATATTGAGCACCCATAATCATATGAGGATCAGAAAATTCCTCTGACACTGTTCCATCTTCAGTTGAATATTTGGTTCTTAGAGACATAAATTACTCTGACACATGAAAGTATCAATTTCTAGCTTCAACAACAAAGTATGTTAATCTATAATCAGATAATATCTGCTAAATAATGTGAGAATCACTATGCCTTCCTGTATTCTATTATCCATCATTGGAAATTATCTAGCTATCTAATCTCTAGTCATTGTATTATTGAGGCACTGAGATGTTTTGCTCATGATGTATAGTACTCTTTTTTTTTTTATTCATTATGACTTGGATTAGGTAGATGGAAATAGACCAGTTGTTTACAAGAAAAGATTAGTGCTTTACATAGCAAATAGTTTTACAGTTTCAGATTAGAGTTTTCTCTTACATTGATTTTTCCCTTCTCTGGGGGAAACTGATCTCATAATGCTGAAATTAATAGAAGGCATCCTAGGTGACTTGTCTTGCATTATTATAAAATAATTAATCTATTTAATGTAATAATACAGGTATAACTAGAGCAAGCATTGCCCGATATTTAGAATATTCTGAGGTAGCTCAGTATAGTATTTTTAGATATCTACTATCTATTACTATTGTTGATAACTTTAGCATGTGTATTTTCACAGCTTTGACTGTTACCTTCTGTAGTGGGATACTATAAAAGATAGCAACCGTTTTACATCTTAATTTTAGTTAATTATCACATTAGTTTGAAGCATAAACACAGAATCATAGAATCTAGAGTTGGGGAAGACCTGTTAAATCATCTAGTCTATCTCTCTGTCATTACAGGTTTATTCATTCATGATTGTGTAAGTTTTGTCCAATTTAAGGAATGCCCTGAGCCTAGGCAATCAGTTTTCCACTGGTTTGCATGGGAGATTGATCCAATAGCTCTCACTGTGGGATTTTCTTAATGTAAAATTTCCCTTTCTTAATTTCATCCAAACAAGGTAGTGCCAATATATATGGTGCTTGATTCTCCACAAAGTTAATAAAGTTAAGCTGGCACAAACA